CGTTATTCTTCTATACAGAACAGAAACAGTTTGATGCATCTGTACATTTGCAGTGACATTATCTGGCTGCAGTCGCCTGACTGATCACTCAGAGCGATATAGTCATCCTTATCTGGTGCATTTTAAAGCATTAAGGTTGCACTTGAGAGCACGTGCAGTTATCTGGATGATCGTGCACTCCATAATTTTCACAACTTGAATCATCAAATCAAAATGTAAAAATATATTATAAAATGAACTCACCACAAATTCCACTTCAAAGGCAAGCATGTACAGGTCGTCTTTATTGTCTTTCCGTCCGATTTGCATCAAGTTCTTCACCAAACCGGGAAGGTGTCCGTTCTTGTGCTTCACCACCACCAGGTCGTCCTGAGACAGCTCACAGATGGCAGAGAACAGTTGCGGGTTACAGAGCAGCTCCAGGCGTCTGCTTGCGCTGGAAATGAAGAGCAGGAGCTGTGCCTGGTGGCGGGTCAGCGGGTACATGTCCTCTATCCTCACCAGGCCCCCGTTCTTGGGGGTCCCTGGGTTGCTGTTCCCGCCGTACAGGAGCCCCACGAACTCTCCACGCTTCTTCTCCGACTCTATGCGCCCGATACATCCTCGGCAGAAGCCTTTCCTCGACTTCCCACGAGTGACGATGAAAAACTTCTCGTTTAAAACAGTTCTGGGCTCCATTAAAACCCTTTATTCCCACCACTACAGTCTGTCAGACCGGTTGAACGCTGATACTGTGCTTATATAAGCAGGTAACCTGCAGAAATGCGATAGAAGTGCTGTAACAATGTAGCCCAATAGATATAATCGAGGATACTTCGCTAGAACCACAAGTTAGACGCATTTTCAAATAAAGCACATTGGCTGATTATTTGCAGGCTGTGTCATGGATAAAACCCTGACTTATAAGGTGAACTATTACAGACATGATTCCCTTTAAGCTCCTGTGAAAGTTAACCCAGGTTCACAACAGGATATAATATAGGCGTCCCCAGCTCTTTAAATGAACAAACGAGCCTGATCTTTGAACTTACTCAAAAAAGCATTTCCAACTTACAATCATTAACGATTTGGTTTATTATTTAAAATAATAATAATTTCAAAAACTGACTTACTGCGATCATGAATTAAGAACAATAAGCCTTGTTCGTATCCGGTTAATCCACTGCTGGAGCATGAATTAATCGCGCTTTTTTATTACTATTCTTTTTTTCTTTTTTTTAAGCAAGTGACTCCAGCAGAGGTGAATCACTTCCTCTTGGCTTCTGCTGTGGAGTGGGAGGGTTGAACTACAGGCATTTAAATGCTGGCCTCCATGTGACCGCCAACGCCCACCTGGCGGCGCTCGGCTTCTCCGCCCTAAAAGTGCTCTCTGTGAAATCTCTCAATTTGGCAAATATTTGACTGCAGACTGATTTAGAGTTAAGAACTATTGCTGCGATCAGCTGACTGTAAGCTAATATGAATCTTTTCTTTCCCTTATTGAAGTATTTACTGTCCAACTTGGAGCTTTCGTTGAATTTGACTGATCATTAAGAGACGAAATTTAAAGCAGCCAGCGGTTGCACAGGTTAAGAGTTCATGAAAGGTCTGAGTGCAGTTTGTTAAAAACAAACAAACAAAAAAA